CATTTCTCATTTATATATTTCCTAATTAACCTTTCTATCCGCGTGTATCTTTACCGCATATACATACAGCAAACACACATCGCAGAATATCCCCAAACATGTCTCCCCCAAAAGAAACTGTTCTCTTTCCCCTTGAAGCCAAAAGCCCAAAGGAACCTCTCACCCCCCCCTCCCCCTCTCCCAGGTCGGGCGCCGTGGCGAGCGGGCGCTACGAGGTCAAGATGCTGGGCTGGAACACCCCTCCGGAGTACATGGACTACGTCAACCCTTACTGGAAGACGTTCGAGGCGCCCAACCCCTTCCTGCACTACATGCTCGGCGTCTTCTACACTTTCTTCATGTTCGCTGCGCTCTGTGGCAATGGCGTCGTGCTGTGGGTCTTCACATCGTGAGTCGCTTTTTATTTTTATTGTTTTCTACTCTCTGTGTCTCTCATCTGTTTTCCGTTTTTTTTCTCTTCCTCTGTTTGCCGTTTTTTTTCTCTCTCTCTGTTTTTCGTCTTTGTCTCCTCCTCCTTTTTGCGTTTCTCTCTCTCTCTCTCTGTTTTCGCTCTCACTCTCGCTATCTCTCTTTTCTCCTATCTGCTTTCGCTCTCCTTACTCTTTCTCTCTCTTTTTAGATGAGTTTTTCTGTAATGAGACGCCGAAATAGAACACAAGAGTGGAACTGATGCTTCAACAACGAGTTAATGACACTGGAAAAAAATCAATATTGTTTGGACATATCATAGATATTCAGATTCACAGTGTTATAAATTGAGACAAATATCAAAAGTGCGATTTGACCATTACTAAAAGTCTCGGGCATGTCCTTACTAAAAAGAAAAGAAAAGGCAGGAGGTTGTGCCTTAAGTAAGTGAAGCAGTAATAGGAAAATCGAAAGGTGAACACAATTAACCTTCTATGTGATTATTTTGCATTACTGTTTATAGGATTTAGTTTAATGTTTACTAAGTTGATGAGTGTTATTTATCTTTTTTTATATAAAATATCTCGTCAGTAATTACCACCGGAATTATGTTTCAAATAGACCTGAATTTGAATATGAATTGTTCTGTAAGATAATATGAGTAGTTTTTAACAGACACGATATTAGTAACATCGATCGCGCAATAATATTGTATTTCTTCTCCCTCTCTCTCTCTCTCCTTTCTATTTCTTCCTCTCTGTCTTCTTTCACTTTACATCCATCCTCCTCTCCCTCTATTTTGCACACATTTTGCCGTCCACCCCTCCTCCTCCATCTTTTTCTCTCCTCGTTTCACATTATCTTCTCCACATTCTTTCCCGTTTTCCTTCTCTCTCCGCCCTTTTTCCTTCCCCTCCATCTCTTTCCACTGTTTCCCTCCCACACTCCCCTTCTTCCCCTCCACCCTCCCTTTACCCCTCATACCTCCTTACCTCCCTCCCCTCACCCTCACCCCATCCCTCCTTCCTACCCTCCACCTTTTCTTCACCTCGCCCACGCACCCTCTACCCCCCCCCCCATCCCCTCTACCAACCCCACCACTCCCGCCCAGCGCTAAGAGCCTCCGCACGCCCTCCAACATGTTCGTGGTGAACCTCGCCCTCCTCGACTTCATCATGATGCTCAAGACGCCCGTGTTCATCGTCAACTCCTTCAACGAGGGGCCCATTTGGGGCAAGTTCGGCTGCGACATCTTCGCCCTCATGGGGTCCTACTCCGGGATCTGCGGCGCCATGACCAACGCGGCCATTGCCTACGACAGATACAAGTGAGCCTTTTGTTGATGTTACGATTGCTGTTATCATTACCATTATTAAGGAAATCACCTCATTAACATTATCTTAATTATTAATGATGTCAAAGCCATATCACGATTAATATCATTGCTATCATTATGATCTTTAACATTATCACTTTAATATCATTATCATTTTATTATTATATGTCTACCATTATTATCATTGCTATTATCTACACTGATATTGTCATTACTGTCGTTGTGAATAGAAAGAATATTTTATTCAACTCATCAGCTTTAGCGTTTGAGAAATAATCGTAGAGCTGAGGAAGATCCCACTGTCGTTTTACTATGACCTTCTTATACTTCCCTCTCTGCAAAACCCGCCTCTGCAGGACTATCGCAAAGCCGTTCGAGCCCAAGATTAAGTCTGGCACGGCGTTCCTGATCGTGCTGGGGACCTGGGCCTATGCCACGCCCTGGTGCCTGATGCCCCTCTTCGGCATCTGGGGCAGGTTCGTGCCAGGTAAGGAGGAGGCCGGGGCACGCACGCAGGGATGGGCATACGCAGGCAGGCATACACAGACTTAGATACGCATACACACGAATACGCATACAAATTCACGTTTACATACATATATGTGTACACAGACACACACGCTTATATACGCATTCACACACACACATACACATACAGAAACAACACACTTATACAAACACGAGCAGACACACTTATGGATTTGGATACATGAGCATACACATTATACTGCTTTCTACACAATCGTATGCACATGT